GGGCACAGGAATGAGGGCATCATGGAAGGCTTCCTGGAAAAAGTGACATCTAAGCCAAGTCCTGAGAAAGATCTATCATTCTGGCTGCAGGCCAGGGGGTGGAGAGGACCTGGCATTTTCTGAGAGAAGAGCCACAAGTTCAGCAAAGCTGGAGCCCAGGCGGGGAGGTAGGGAGCAGACGTGAGAAGAGAGGCTGGAGAGGACGCTGGAGACAGACCCTGAGGGGTTTAGCCTTCACCCTGAGGGTGAGAGGGGCCATAGAAAGGAGAGAGAGTGGTCAGATTTGCGCTTTGGAAAGATGAGCATGGGAATGGGCTACAGAGCAGCAGGGGGGCAGGTGGGAGACTTCTGAGGAGTCTGGCTATGGCAACCCCAGTCAGTTATTTTGGACCTCAGGAGGCTGGAGGATGGAGGCTGCTGGCACCCTGGCTCTGAGAACTTGCTGTTGGTTCGCATTCCTTTAAGGGGTGTAGTCTCCCCAGAGAAGCAGAGGCAGGTGGCTGCGTAGGGCTGGGAAGGCTCTGCCCAGCTGGAACGTGGGATGGGGCCGAGGTGGGACCAAGGATAACATGTGACTGAGAATCAGTCATGGAGCTGCTCAGCTTAGTTCCCAGGAGAGACTGTGGGGGTAGGTAGGAGGGAAGGACGCTGTGCTAAAAATTATTTTTAAGGTCGGAGCGCCAGCTCCCACTTCTAGTGCTGCCTTGACTCGCTGCCGAGGGCATTGAGGTAGCTCAGGAGGTGAGTCCCCTCCAAGTGATCCTCCCTAGGGGATAGGAGAGGATGGCTGAAGTCGCATGGGCAGTGACCATCAGGACCTTTGCTAACCTATGGTGTCCCATCTCTGTGTGAAATCAAGAGTAGCCCCAGTAGGGGGCAGTGATGTCTCTCCTAAACCTAAACCGTAGATGATGACTAAAGCGCGTACAGTATTTAATAGCTCTGCATCAGCCTACAGCAGCAACTTTCAGACTTTTTTTTCTCTCTTACTGTGACACAGCAAGAAATGCTTTTACATTGCATCCTCCTATGCATATCGCCACGTAGTCCCTGCAACACGAAATGGACTTGGATATACTCTATTCTGTTCTCTTCTATCCTGCCTTTCTCTGACTTTTCTTCTATCCTGTAATTTTTTTTTTTTTTTTTTTTTTTACATTCTACTTTAATTTAAAAATGTCCAGTTACTGGCCTTCTAAATTGATTTCTAGATTCCTAGGCTGCTGTTTGAAAAGCACTGACCCAGCGGGAAGCCTCTCAGAAAGCATAGGAAGGCTGCAGCCTCTGTTCCTTCTTGTCATTTGACAGACAACTTTGCTGAGACCAGAGAGCATGCACAGATCAACATTAAAATAATGATTCATGCTGCTGAATGGATACTATGCACCAGGCAAAAATCTTTCTGGGGACTCTCCCGTGTAATCCATTTTGAGGAATTCCATGGTTTTTATCTCCACTGAAGTTCAGAGGATGGAAGTGGCTTAAGTCCACAGTTAGTAAGTGGTTGAGAGTTGAACTTACATTTTCCCGATGCCGGAACTAGAGCTCTAACCCATTACATTATACGCGCCAGGAGACAGATGCTATCACCAGTGTGATCACAATAGAAGCAAGATTAAAACTTGTTTCCTCAGCCTGGAATATTGGGCTGAAATCAACACTGTGGTTCCGGTGGGTCAAAAAGAAAAAAAAGAATTCCTCCAGAAGCGATTGGAGAGACCTGATTTTTCTAGGTCTTAAGAAAAACATGGAGCTTATCGGGTGTCTTAGTCTAGAAAAGATGAGAAACCATTTTTCCCGAATGGAAAATGAAAGGAGGAACAGAAAGCTTATATAGTGGCGTAGTGGTGATGGGTCAAAAACAAATTACAATTAGATTTTGAAGATTCCAGGTGAGGAGTAGGGCAAGTGAAGGGAATTTGCAGGAGACCAGAGCGGATAACAGAAGGCAGTGACCCCTGAACGGTGAGGCAGCAGGTGGAGCCCCATGGGTCTCACTCGTCATGGTAATGTGGCTGGAATGACAGCGGCAGGAAGGAGGTCACAGGCCTGAGAGAATCACCTACTTCTGACCTCATGGGAAAGCTGGCAGCGACACCATCGCCCTCCAGATGTGTGTGTAAAACAGCCTGTAGAAGCACGTGTTCATGTCCAGGTGCCTTAAAAATTCTCACACCGAAGTAGTGTTAGAAACAGTCTGTTCCTTATAGGATTCAGGAATGGTTATCTATCCTCTTACTCTTCCATTTTATTTCTATTCAAGATTGCACCTTTTTACCATCAAGGATGCAAAGGATTTTTGTGATAGATACTTTCTTCCATTTCTGATTCTAACCTTTTAGATCTCGAGTATGATATTTAAACACGATGTACATGACTTTCAGCCACGTCACCTTTCTTGCATGGGCCAAATATTGTGTGAGGCGCTGATATTTTTGTTCTTGAGCTTGCTTGTAAATTGAGAACGTTGGCTGTTTGTTCATCTGGGGATAGATGGGGCACCTGCTTCGTAGGGATGCTCAGAGGCACGCCCTGGCTCCCCTGTGCGCGGTACCAGACAGCGGTGACAGCAGCCGCATCGGCTTTCCCCGGGGAGTGGCGGGCCAGGCTGAAATAACAGCTGCCTGGTAATTCTGGGACCGAACAGCTACTATTCATGAAACAAAACAAAACAGACTTTGTCTGGCCCAGAACATGCAGCTTTGGGACTCTAGTGGGTGGAGGAAGGACAGCCAAGCAAAGGGATGAATTGGAAGATTTGTATCTTCAGTTGTTTGAAGGTCCTAGGGGGTTATCGAGACAGATATTCTGACCCTCTTCCAAGTCCAGTGACATTCTCTTCTTCCTTTCCCTTCCCTTTCCTCCTCTCTTTTCCCTTCCCTTCCCTTCCCTTCCCTTCCCTTCCCTTCCCTTCCCTTCCCTTCCCTTCCCTTCCCTCCCCCCCTTCCCTTCCCTTCCCTTCCCTTCCCTTCCCTTCCCTTCCCTTCCCTTCCCTTCCCTTCCCTTTCCTCCCCTCCCCTTCCCTTCCCTCCCCTTCCCTCCCCTTGCTTTCCCTCCCTCCCCTCCCCTTCTTCCTCTTCCCTCCCCTCCCTCCCCTCCCCTTCCCCTTCTTCCTCTTCCCTCCCCTCCCTTCCCCTCCTTTCCCCTCTTTTCCCTTCCATTCCCCTTCTCCTTCCTCTTCCCTTCCCCTTCTCCTTCCCCTTCTCCTTCCTCTTCCCTCCCCTTCTCCTTCCTTTTCCCTTCCCTTCCCCTTCCTTCCCTCTTCCCTTCCCTTCCCCTCCCTTCACTTCCCCTTCCCTTCCCTTCCCTTCCCTTCCCTTCCCTTCCCTTCCCTTCCCTTCCCTTCCCTTCCCTTCCCTTCTTCCCTTCCTTTCCCTTCTTTTCCCTTCCCTTCCCTTTCCCTTCCCTTTCCCTTCCCTTTCCCTTCCCTTCCATATAAAAATCTGTCTGCCTGTCTTTCTCCTTGTGTTCTTAGATCAGGGTCTTCTGTTTGCTCAGAGATCCCTATCCGTTTCTTTGAGGGCACTTACCACAGTTCATAGTTGTACTCCCTGTGTGGAGCTTTAAAAGATGACCCCCGCACCCCACTGAGATCGGAGGCCTCATGGGAACAGAGACCTTGTTTGGGTCACTCACCGCTGCATTTCCCGAGTTGAGTCCAGTGTCTGCCACATAGCAGAGTCTCAGCAAAGATTTGGTTAATAAAAAATGAATGCAACTTTGGAGTCAGCTCGTGACCCCTCTTATCACTCATGAGAGGGAGAAAGTATTAAAACCGCACTCTGACTGCTTTTTGCTCATGAGTGACTAAAAAATTGGGTAATATCCCCATTCATAGCAGCTGTTCAGTAAAAGTCTATTAAGAATAATAAGCTTCATTTTCATTTGCTCATTTGATGTACATGTGCTGGCCTTTAATTTCCCCAGAGGGAGCAGTCAGAGCAGTTAGGACATGGTATTTCCCCGAGCGCTGCCCGCCACCAGGCGCTGTGCTAATAATCCGCCTGCAGCGATGGCGAGACCCTCCAAACGACCCTGCACAGAAGTGAGGTTCCTCTCCCACTTCCCAGAGGAAGGACTCGAGGCTCCAAGTGGTTACTGTACTTGCAGAGACTCAAAACCAGCTCTTGCCCTGCCGGTGTGGCTCAGTGGTTGAACACCAACCTATGAACCAGGAGGTCACGGTTTGATTCCCAGTCAGGGCTCGATCCTCACTGTGGGGTGTGCAGGAGGCAGCCAATCAACGAATCTGCCTCATCATTGATGTTTCTATCTCTCTCCTTCTCACTTTCTCTCTGAAATCAATAAAAATATTTTTAAAAACACATACATATAGTAAGAAACAGTGCTTGATTTAGGGTATAAATTATACAGGGATAAAATAATGAAATAAATAAATATACCCCCTGCAGGACCATAGCATGACCAGAAATAGAGAGGGGCCCCCTGAGGGTGGGGTTCCTCAGGGCGCACAGCCTCCAGGAGGCACTGGGCCATTCTTTCCAGTTCTAACATGAGCTGTTCTTTCAGGCCTTCACAGCATCCCCAAGTTCTCTCTCCAAACCATGTGGCCAATCCCTAAGGAAAATAAAGAAGGACCTTTCTTCCTGTTGTTTGACTTCAAACTGGGGTCAAAGGCCATAGGCTGGTGTGAAAATAAATAAAGGCCCTGAACACACAAAGGCCATTCTGAAGCTGGCCCTCACTGTAAACACAGGCCTTCCTTTCCGAGGCCTGGAGCTCCCAGCCCTTCCCAGGGCCCACCGTGACCTCACGTGGCCTGAGGCCCTGGTGGCTGCGGCAGGGCCTGGTGGTCTTGTGGGAAGAGGTGAGGGGCTTCTGAGGGGAGTCGGAGGGAAGGAGCTAAATCCTTAGATTCTCTGGGAAAGAAAACGTGTGCATGTATCTGCCCCCTGTTGGACAACTTGCGTATATGCTTACTCAAGCTTATCAATTTTCCTTTTACAGCGGGTGTGCAGCACACAGTTCACAAATAACAATAAAATAGAAATGCTTTTATTGTAAATTTCATATTGGCAATTGGTTCTAAGATAATGGACACATTGATTTATGTGGAACTCGTGTGTGTAGAGTAGCAAGCATCGTTTTGACATGAATATTGGTCAGTATTTTCATTAGCAAGTACCTGAAAGTGAAACAACAAAGAAGTTAGGAAATTGCTCATTTGTCAATGCTATGAGTGATTTTTTTTCCCTGTATTCAAAAGCACATCCTGTTTGATGTGCTCCTCACCATGTAAGAGATACAGACTTGACACAGTTTTAAATAGAATCGGCTTACTAGTATCACTTTCTTAAGTCTGTACAATTACAAAGCCATAAATTAAGCCTTGATTTATATTTTTTTCTGTTTTACTCAATCCCTCACCCCCCATCCAGCTACCCAACCCCTCCTCCCTGCCACTGATAGCTGTCAGTCTGCCCTCTGTCTATGAGTCTGTCCCTATTTTAGTTCATTTTGTTCATTAGACTCCACAGATGAATGAAATCATATGACACTTGTCTTTCTCTGACTGTACTTGAAATCACAATAACTTTGAAAAACGTATTTACAAGAGCTATAAACCCATAGTCACTGACATGTGTTTGGATCCAAGTTTATAAAACTATTTTATAATATGTTTTTAAAAACTCAACTTCATTGTTTTACTTCCCATGCAAACCTATGCAAACCCAATAGGAAAAAAGTATCCTAACTTCAAGAAACATCAATGCTAAGAGAGAATCATTGGCTGGCTGCCTCCTGCACACCCCACACTGAGGATGGAGCCTGCACCCTGGGTATGTGCCCTGACCGGGAATCAAACCATGACTGCCTGGTTCATATGTTTACACTCAACCACTGAGCCATGCTGGCCGGGCTGTGGTTTTTAGCCTAATAAGTCACTCCAAAACTTTGGCACCACACCACATTCTCTCCCTCGGTCTGGTGGGCTCATCTGGGCAGTTCTCTCTTGGGGTCTGTCATGTGGGCACTCTCAGATGATAGCTGGGGCTGGAGCAATCCAGAGACTTGTCTGGGCCAGGCCTCCACGATGGCGCCCTCATAGGGCTGGCGGCTGATGCTGGCTGCTCTCAGGGAGCTCAGCTGGGGCTGTGGTCAACTGGAGTGCCAAGAGGTGGCTTCTTCTCTATGTGGCAGGGGTCTAGGAGTGAGCATTCCAAGAAGCAGCATTCCAGGAGATTAAAGTGGAAGCTGCAAGCTCTCTTGTGACCTTGCCTTAGAAGTCACGCAGTGTCACTCACTGCATTCTGTTGGTCACACAGGTGTGGCCTGCAGGTGTGAGAGAGGGCCACTCAGTGGTGTGGATACTGGGATATATGATTCACTGGGGGTCATCTTTGAAGACCAGATGCCTAATGGGCTTTGGGAGACCAGATACACCCATCAAGGGTAGCATATTTGAAAGTTATTTTCATTTCCATGGAAAAGGGAGAAAGATACTTTACCTGTTTTTTTGTTGTTGTTTGTTTGTTTGTTGTTGTTGTTTTTTTAATAAAACCCAGTTGGTTTTCTTGAACCTCCCTCCCACCATGTAATTCCTAGCATGCCCAAGTTTATTACCTGGTAGGGCTGGAAGAAATCAGCCTCAGCTCTAAGATGCAGGAAGGATACTAGGCCAGCCAGCTCTGTCCCCTCGGGGGCATGCACGACTGGGCCTGGCTCAGGACTCTTGTGGGCATTGGGGAGAGGCAGAGGTGGAGACGGGCTCACTTTGGGTGCATCCAGTGTAAAAACTGACTCTAGACCACAGAGTGGAGATTTTAGGTGAGAAAGCCCATGATCTAAAAAACTGCTCAGTTTGGGGATGAGGTCTGGAGTGAGGATGTGATTTTGGTGAGCTTCACACACTGTGTGGGAGGGATTGACTTTCATTTATCTAAGACTTCTTTCCCCCCCCAAATTTAATAAATCTTTATTGCTCAGATTATTACAATTGTTTCTCCTCCCCCCCCCCCCATAGCTCCCCTCCACCCGGTTCTCACCCCACCCTCTGCTTTTACCTCCCCCACCCCCATTGTCCTCATCTATAGGTGTACAATTTTAGTCCAATCTCTTCCTGCATCCCCACACCCTTTCCCCCCTGATAGTGGACTGATAATCATCTAAGTCTTTATCTCACAACTCTCCCCAGATAACTCCTCCTCCATCCCTGTAAGGTCCCCTTAGTTTCTGTAGTGGTTCCTGGCACTCAGTTACTTCCATGCTCTGAGAGGGAGGCTCTGAGAAAAGTGCCATAAAGCAGCTGGAGACCATGGATGTCACAGGTCTGTACTGGGACTGGACTGAGGGCTAATCATCTAAGTCTTTATCTCACAACTCTCCCTGAATAAGCCATAGGAGGGTTTCAACTTAGGCAAATAACCCACGTTATTTATGTACTCGCAAATCATGATGAGATTCCTTATATGGCCTAGCACTGTCCCATGCTCTAAGAATACACCAACAAACAAAACTCCCAAGTCCCTGACCTCTAAGAATTCACAATCCAGGAGAATATTCCTGGACATTCCCAGTGATGGCAGGTTGAACCAATTTTGGTTGAGAACAAAGATGGTTTGGAAATTATGAATTGTTTTCCTCCATGGAGATGAGTTAAAGTAATTAAGATTTAATTTAAATTAAATTCAGAAGCATTTGTTTCACATGTTTCTTCTAAAAAAAAAAAGTGAGACTAATAAAATGATTGTGGAATGGATCTAAAACCAAGAATTTCAAATTATAGAATTAAGCATAATGAATTCCCATGAAAGATTATTTACCGAGTTAATCCTTCATTTTCTAAAAATCACTTCATACACAATAGCTCCTTGGCATGGAACTGGAGTCTTTGAAAACCCTGCCTCTCCTCAGAATTCTTGATATGACCTCATCTTAGTGCATTGTTAAATAATCTCAGCCCTTTGGGTGTAACTGATTTAGCAAGTTAACACTTGGTACTGTTTAGACAACGGGTGCCGTAGAGGAGCAAGACGGAGCAGGACCAGGCGATTACGGCATGGGAATGGGATTCAGGCCCCTCTTGTCTGGTTGCCTGAGCCATTCTTGCCCTCCCATTTGGCCCATGAAACCTCCAACTCAACCAAACAAATGGCTTAAAAATTTGTCAAAGCAGATACCTGTCATTAAGTCAAACCTGTTGTCAGCATAAATCATTTGACTAAAGCCCATTTTCCTAACCATCATTCGGTAAGGACTTCTATGTACCAGGCATTATGTGGTCAATATGGCTGAAAGAGGCCCATACCCTGGCAGAGCTTAGCTTCCAGTGGGGCGTGCACAGACACAGACACACACACACACACACACACACACACACACACACACAATGCGTGAAGTGAGAGGAAAGTAAGAAAGTAGGACAGACATGTGATGGGGAGTGGTTGGGCCTACTTTCAGTTGTCTGAGTTGTCTGATTATTCCTTTATGGTGGGGATTGTCCTAAAGTTTGGTAATGTCTGATCACTGTCCAAACCGGCCGTTAGAAGGAGCTTGTGTAGGCTAATGAGCGCACTGGGCACAGGGTCAGCAGTTCTGAGTTCTCGAACTGGCTGTGCAACTAGTAACTTTGTGTGGCCTTGGCCTTCCAGGGCCTCCATTCCTATCATCAAGAGCTAGGACTTGGTGGAAGGTCACGGAGTTTCTTTTAGTTCTAACACTTAAGAATCACACGGCACATGCTGTTAGGTTTTAAGAACACCTGGTCTTGATAAGGTTGCCTGTTTAATCTCATAGTCATGTCTATGTTCTTATTAATACCTAATGTGTCATTGCTTTATGATCCCAGATCTCTCTCTGATATTGTTCTCTTCATCCTCACAAAACCTTGGAGAGATGAAGAAACTGAGGGTTAAAGCAGCTAAGCAGCATACCCAGTTTCACATGGGTTGATTGATAAGGGTTGGATCAAAACACTGCTATTCAAATAAAAAGAATTCCTTCCTTTTTTTTTTTTTAAATCCTCACCCAATGATATATTTTTTTATTGATTTAGATAGAATGAAAGAGAGCGGGAAAGACAGAGAGAAATATCAATGTGAGAGAAACACATCAATTGGTTGCCTCCTGCATGAACCCAGACCAGGGAGGAGCCTGCAACTGAAGTACCTGTCCTTGACCAGAATCAAACCCGGGACCCTTCAGTCTCTAGGCCGAATCTCTATCCTCTGAGCAAAACCTGTTAGGGCAGGAGTTCCTTCCTCTTTAAGGCTGAATACTATACCATTGTGTATACAAATGTGAGAATTGTTGTCCATTCATTTGTAGGCAGACACTTAAGTTGCTTCTAGATCTTGGCTATTGTGAATAAGGCCACAGGGAATATTCTACCATTTCCAGCAACATGGGAGGACATTATGCTAAATGAAATAAGCCAGACACAGAAAGACAAATACTACATGATGTCACTTATATGTGGAACCTGAGAAATGTTGACCTTTTAAAAGCAGAGAGGACAGTGGTTGCCAGGGGCTGGGGAAATGGGGATTGAGGAAGTGTTGATCAGAGGGTTTCAGATATAAAAGATGTACAAGTTTTGGAGACCCAGTGCATAGCATGGGTCTAACAATACTATATTGCATTCTTGAAACTTGCTGAGAATAAATCTTAATTTTTTTACTGTATGTAAATCATACCTTCATAACCTGACTGCCTCAAAAAGTATTAATATATATTTGTGTCTTTTGATTTTAAATTTTTTTTAGTGAATAACTTTGTCAGAAAAACACCCCATTTCCCCCACCTCTATCCTCACCTGAGGAGATGTTGTTTTTTAATTGATTTTAGAGAGAGAGGAAGAGATATATAGAGAGAAACATTGATGTGAGAGAGAAACATTGATCGGTTGCCTCCAGTATGCTCCCCAACTTGGGATCAAACCTGCAACTTAGGTATGTGCCCTGACCAGGAATTGAACCCGAAACCTTTTGGATACGGGATAATGCTCCAATCAACTGAGTCATCTGCTCAGGGCAAAACACATTCCTCCTTATGCACTGTCTACTTTCTGAAGATGCAAATGAGGTAAAAATTAATGGTTCCATCAAGAATTGTCATTCACCAGATCAGCTTGTCCAAGTCTAAAAACCATGAGAAACAATTTAGAAATAATAACCTTTCATGGCT